GTGTGTGCCACCACACCCAGCTAATTTTTGCATTTTTAGTAGAGACGGGGTTTCTCCATGTTGGCCAAGATGGCCTCGATCTCTTGACCTCATGATCCGCCTGCCTTGGCCTCCCAAAGTCCTGGGATTACAGGCGTGAGGCACCTTGCCCAGCCAATGTTAACTAATTTCATAAAAAGCATTTGAAATAATTTCAACTGCTGTCTTCACTCTGGAAAAGAGAACGACAGCCCCTCACGTCCACAGCAGGCCTAGCTCCATCAGCCAGGCCTTGGTGCGCCCTGCGCTAGCCCGCACACCTCCCTCGGCCTGGGCCTTCTCCTGTGAACAAAGGCAATCTCCTAGAACTTCAACAACAGATACGACCCTGTGGTCATGAGGACTCAGGCAAAAGATGACTGCTGTGTAATCATGTCCAAACACAGACAAAACAGGAACATCTTCCAAACCACAAAAATGACCAAACACCCACAATACCTGATAATATGAGTGACTGCTGCTTTTTTTTTCTTTTTAAACTGATTACAGTGTTAATTTCTAGTCTGATTTCCTTTTAGTTAAGCTTTACTAAGAAAACCAATCCTAGAATTGTCCCTGACAACACCCAACTCAGAACAAACCCCAGGCTTCCTGGTATACTCCCCCAAAGCACCCATGCCAAGCCCAAATCCAACCCTACCAGTCATTTCCACCCTCCTCTTCCCGAGATGCCCCACTGTACCGAGGCTCCCGTGGTGTGTGTTTGCCGTCAGCTGACTGGCTACAGGTGTGTGCCCTGGGGTCTTTAGCTGGAAAATACTAACAATCCAATTATATTTTCTACCTAAAAACCTACTGTAATAATTTAGAATAACCTATTTTAAGTATCATTTAACTTTTAAGGACAAAAATCTAGTTTGCTTTAAATGAAGTCTATGTTTCACTTACTAAAATAATATATATAATTGGAGAAATATTGGAAAATAATGTGGAAATGTGAGAAACAGACTCTAAATCAATGTCTATAAAGATAAAAAACAGAAGAAAATAAACATAAGAAAATGTTGGCCGGACGCGGTGGCTCACGCCTGTAATCCCAGCACTTTGGGAGGCCGAGGCGGGTGGATCACGAGGTCAAGAGATCGAGACCATCCTGGTCAACATGGTGAAACCTTGTCTCTACTAAAAATACAAAAAATAAGCTGGGCATGGTGGCGTGTGCCTGTAGTCCCAGCTACTCAGGAGGCTGAGGCAGGAGAATTGCCTGAACCCAGGAGGCGGAGGTTGCGGTGAGCTGAGATCGCGCCATTGCACTCCAGCCCGGGTAACGAGCGAAACTCTGTCCCAAAAAAAAAAAAAATGTTATCCATATTTTAAAGTTAGCTTTTAATCATACCATACACATAATTTTTGAGACTGTTTTTTCTTTTAACATTACAAATGGGTGTTTTCCACATTAAGAAGACTTTATCAATTTAAATTTAACAGCTAGAGGATTTCATAGTATACAACCTATCCAATTTTGTGGTACATTTAGATTGCTTCAGTTTTTCACTATTTTAAATAGCAATATACTAAAATATGTGTATAAAAATGTTTACTGGAGGGTTTATGTAAGAAATCTTAGGAAAAAAACACTACACGTTCTTCAGTAGAGAAACGGGTACGTTATGACAGAGCTGTACCGTGAAAAACCATGCAACCATTAAAAGACTGAGGAAGATCTCTCTACATTGGAAATATAGGAAACGCTCTTCTCAGTTAAACAGAAAATGACTGCAGTGGTTATCTGCCTTTGATTGTGGACAGAAGGGCGTAAAAATACTTTTAGTTTTCACTGTCTTATATGTTTATTTTACACATATAACCTACATTATTTTTGTATTTTTTTGAAAAACACCATAAAATTAAAATTAGTGAATAATACTTTAATAAACATCTCTTTCATACTCTTCTCATTTGAGATACAAAGCTAGAAGTAGATTGATTGATTACTGATGACTGATTGGTTGAGACAGGGTCTGATTCTGCCGCCCAGGCTGGAGTGCAATGGTACCATCGAGACTCGCTGTAGCTTCGACCTCCCGGGCTCAAGAGATCCTCCTGCCTCAGCCTCCTAAGTGGTTGGGACTACAGGCGTCCACCACAACTGCTGGCTAATTTTTGTATTTTTTGTAGAGATATGGTCTTCCTAATTTGATCAGGATTGTCTCTAACTCTTAGGGTCAAGCGATCCTCCCGCCTCAGCCTCCCAAAGTGCTGGAATTACAGGTGTGAGCCAATGTGCCTGGTTAGCCATAGTTTTTGAAAGATCAGTGGTTATGAATACTTAAGATTTAAAATGTTAAAGGCAAAACAGATTCTGTATCTTACATTTTGATAGGAAATTACTTTTTTAAAATTACCTTAAGTAGGTGCCAGGGGCTTGCGCCTATAATTCCAGCATTCTGGGAGGCTGAGGCAGACAGAGCACCTGAGCCCAGGAGCTGGAGACCAGTCTGGGCAACATGTTGAAATCTCACCTCAACTAAAAATACAAAAATTAGCTGGGCGTGGTGGTGCGTGCCTGTAGTCCCAGCTACTCTGGAGGCTGTGGCAGGAGGATGGCTTGAGTCTGGGAGGAGGAGGCTGCAGTAAGCAAGATTGCACCACTGTACTCCAGCCTGGGTGACAAAGAGAGACCCTGTCTCAAAAAATAAAAAAACCAAACATCAAAAAATTTACCTGAAGTGCTGATACTGTTAAAATATCCAACTCCTTTTTGTTTATTCTGAGATGGGTCGCATGTAAGAATTCTTAAAGTATCTGAGAACCTGAAGAAGAAACAGGTAAAAGAAACAAAGTACCATTACACTAGAACTAAGGAGGCCTGGCTACAGAAAGAACACCAAATTCCAAATAGTTCACACTGAAATACTTTGTTCAGCAGATAATTGTTCTAGGACATTTATGTCACATTTGCCCACAAAACCACGAACCCTACACATATAAAAACAATATGATTTGTCAATTAAAGAAAGTATTTTTTTTTAAAGAGTAGGTTGGTGATTATTTACATTAACCTTAATTACAGAATGGATCAGCAGACTCTGGGATTGCTGAAGCCATGGGTCCACAGTTTCACATCTGCGGATTCAACCAACCACAGATCAAAAGCATGGTTTTTTGAGACAGAGTTTCGCTCTTGTTGCCCAGGCTGGAATGCGATGGCGCATTCTTGGGTCACTGCAACCTCCGCCTCCCGGGTTCAAGTGATTCTCCTGCCTCAGCTTCCCGAGTAGCTGGAATTGCACTCACCTACCACCATGCCTGGCTAATTTTGTGTTTTTAGTAGAGATGGGGTTTCTCCATGTTGGTCAGGCTGGTCTCAAACTCCCAACCACAGGTGATCCGCCTGCCTCAGCCTCCCAAATTGCTGGGATTACAGGCATGAGCCCCTGCGCCCGTCCAAAAGCATATTTTTTAAAAAACAATATAAATAGGCCAGGCACATTGGCTCACGCCTATAATCCCAGCACTTTAGGAGGCTGAGACGGGCAGATCACTTGAAGTCAGGAGTTTGAGACCAGCCTGGCCAACATGGTGAAACCCTATCTCTACTAAAAATATAAAAATTAGCCAGGTGTGGTGGTGGGCACCTATGATCCCAGCTACACAGGAAGCTAGGGTCGGAGAACTGCTTGAACCCGGGAGGTGGAGGTTGGAGTGAGCTGAGGTCGCACCACTGCGCTCTAGACTGGGTGGACACAGTGAGACTCCATCTCAAAAAAATAAGTAATTAAATAAAAATAAACAATACAACAATGAAAATAATACAAATTCAAAACAATATGGTATAAGAACTATATAGCATGTGAACTGTTTTAGGTATAGGTAACATGGAAGGATTTGAAGTATTGTATATGGAGGATATATATGTATGGGTTATGTGAAAATAGTACACCCCTTTATATCTATGGATTTTTGTATCCACAGGGGTCTTGGAATAAAACACCCACAGACACCAGGGGATGACTACATAACTATTCACCAAACATAAAGAGCCTTTGAAATTTCTGTTACAATTTTAGAGGTGTGACTTACAGGAAGAAATGAAGAGGAGGGGTGAGGGCAAAGGAAAAAACAGATTAAAATTAGTGGAAAGAAAAGGTACATTCATAACCATGAAGGATTTAGCTTTTATTTCAGGAAGTAAGAACCTGGCATTTACTTGGAATACACAAAAGACAAGATAACTGTATTCAGCAGAGAACCCTCCACCTCTGTAAGAGTACTATTTAAACTGCTAAAGAAACAGGATTGGGTAATTGGGAGATTACCGGCACTTCAGGCTGTAGTTGCTTTTCCCATATGAGCTAGAACTAACAGTGTTGCTTTCTGCACTTTTCCATACGTGCTAGAGACTGACCTTATTCTGGTGCCGACAGACGGTGGCAGGAATTATACAGTTTTCACACTCCTACTATGGCACTTCCAGAATCTCAGATATTACTGCTGTTACCAACATTTACTGAGCAGATGCCACGCGCTGAGCACAGCTGTAAATGTTTTCTGTGCACAGTTTTAACTTTTCAAATCCTCTGGACAACTCCATAAGATAGGTGTATCAATTCCATTTAAAAGTAGGAAACTCAGACCTTACTTCTAAGACATGTTATCAAAAGAACTCAAAGAGTACAAATATATATATATATTATATATGAGGAGAAACAATCCCTCTTCTACCCTCCTGGGTAATGGCTGTTAACTGTATAACCTGATACAACTGCCCCTATAGCAACGTATATTAAACAATTATTAAAATTAATTTCTAGAGAATTTTTCCTTAAAATTATATTTAGGTGGCCAGGCATGGTGGCTCACACCTGTAATCCCAGCACTTTGGAGGCCAAGGCAGGCAGATCATTTGAGGTCAGGAGTTTAAGACCAGCCTGGCCAACATGGTGAAACCCCATCTCTACTAAAAATATAAAAATTATCTGGGTGTGGGGACATGCACCTGCAGTCCCAGCTACTCGGGAGGCTGAGGCAGGAGAACTGCTTGAACCTGGGAGGCGGAGGCTGCAGTGAGCCGAGTTCGTGCCATGTCACTGGGCAGCAGAGCAAGACTGTCTCAAAAAAAAAAATTATATTTAAGAAACGCAAAAGGAAAAGATCCATGGCAAGTTGATGGTAATTTAGTCTGAACCTTAACCACATTTTGGGCTGAAAAATTGCCAGCCTAGAAAAACAGGGAATGAAGGCAAATACAGTAAGTCCTCACTTAATGCCATGGACAGATTCTTGGAAACTGCGACTTTAAGAGAAATGACACATAGCACGTCTCTGAATAACGTTTTCTGTTATAATGGCAGTCCCCAACCTTTCTGGCACCAGGGAACGGTTTCCTGGAAGGCAATTTTTCCATGGTGTGCGGAGGCAGGCGGGACGGTTTCAGGATGAATGCGTTCCACCTCAGATGATCAGGCACTGGATTCTCATAAGGAGTGTGCAACCTACCTCCCACGAGCAGCTCACAGCAGGATTTGCACTCCGGAAAGAACCTAATGCCACTGTGGCTCTGACGGGGCGGAGCTCAGGTGGGAAGCTGGTCGTCTCACTCGCCTCCTGCTCACCTCCTGCTGTGGGGTCTGGGTCCTAACCACAGACCCCTGGTCCGTGGCCCAGGGACCACTGCCTTACAACAGTGATGAGAAAAAATAACAGGGTTTGTTATACATCACTTCCTTTAAAGTTCAGTTTCCAATAACTTTTCAACATCAAATGAGGATTTACTGTATTTCTGCTGAAAGGTGACTTTCACAGATTTTATTTCTATTTATTTATTTATATCTTAGTTTTTAGCAATGGGGTCTCACCCTGTCACCCAGGCTGGAGTGCAGTGGTGCAATCATAGCTCACTGCAGCCTTGAACTCCTGGGCTCAAGTGATCCTCCTACCTCAGCCTCCTGAGTAGCTGGGACTAAAGGCACATGCCACTGTGCCCAGCCAATTTCGATGCTTTTAGAAAATGATCAAAACATGGGAACCTAAAGCTTCAATAGTAGAACTCACAATAAATTCCAGAGTGTCAATATAATGATAATTTATATAGGCATTAGAAGATTTATAATTGTTGGCAAATTCTTAACAAATATTCATAACACCAAGCTGAAAAAATAAGTGACAATCATCTAAATAATAATCTCGAGAATATTTTTTGAATAAAGGAGCTATGCAAATTATATATATGTACATAAAATTTGCACATAATTTCATGGATACATGAAAAGAAAATAAGACATTTTAATAGTCATTATATTTCCAAATGCAGTACCAGTCATATTGTTTTCTTCTTTATAGGAGTGATAATCATTTTAGAAAAATTGGAAAACATACTAAATATAATCCTGAAAAGACATAAAGGGAAAATTAAGTGGTTCGAAAATATGTTTTACTATTATCTTTTAGTTAATGGAGAAAAGAGAAGTGTTAACTTAGAACTGTAAGAACTGACTTTTTCTTATGGTAGAATGAATTTAGATGACTGACATTTTGGTAATATACAATGCGATTCACTGTTTAATATTCATGAATACAAAATGGTTTGATGCCACAACTACATACCTGACATTGCTGACCAAAGAAGAAAGAAAATACTGATATTCTTCTGAAACGTTTTCCGACTGTATGGGAAAAAATCTGTTTTCCTCAGCAACCTCCAAAGCCACACACTTTCCTATTTTTGATGATTTATACAGCCGAAAGTTTCTATTTCTTGTATAAACTCCTACATCAAAATAATATGAAAGTATGATTTCTGTGATTAGTTTTATAGTCAGCAAGTATTAAAATTTTATATAGCAGTAATAAAATAAATAATTATTTTCTATAGATAGCTATAAACAAAACAAAATGAAACCACAATATAAATTAACTTGCAGTCAGCATGGAAGAATGCCACATCCTCAAATAACAAATTAGATTATTTTGCAGTAATTCTGCAATTGAAGACAAATAGAAAAGATGGACAGAGGTATTACAAACAAATAGAAAGGCTGAGACTACCAGAAAGCTTCCAAGACAGTGAGTGCAAAATTCCGGAGAAAAAGGATCAAAAACAAACAAGTCTTTTTGTTTTGTATTCTACAAAAACAAATTTATTTGTAGAATAAATCTAACAAAATATGAGTAAGATTTCTATTCAGTAAATTGTAAATCATTACTGACAGAAATTACAGAATACCTAAGTAAATAGACAGGTTTACCATGTGCATACATTGGAAGACTCAATATTATAAAAAATGTCAATTCTCCCCAAGTTGATCTATAGATTCAAGGTAATCCAAATAAAAAGTGTAGCCAGGCATGCTGGCTCATGCCTGTAATCCCAGCACTTGGGGAGGCCGAGGCAGGCAGGTGACCTGAGGTCGGGATTCAAGAGCAGCCTGACAAACATGGAGAAACCTCCTCTCTACTAAAAATCCAAAATTGGCCAGGTGTGGTGGCGCATGACTGTAATTCAAGCTCCTCAGGAGACTGAGGCAGGAAGACCACCTGAGGTCGGGAGTTTGAGACCAGCCTGACCAACATGGATAAACATCGTCCCTACTAAAAGGACAAAAGTAGCCGGGTGTGGTGGCACATGCCTGTAATCCCAGCTACTCGGGAGACTGATGAAGGAGAATCACTTGAACCCAGAAGGCAGAGGTTGTGGTGAGCCGAGATCACGCCACTGCATCCAGCCTGGGCAATAACAGCAAAACTCTGTCTCAAAAAAAAAGAAAAAAAATTCTAGCAGGATTTGTTTATATAAACTGGTGAGCTGATTCTAAAATTTAAATGCAAGTGAAAAAGGTCAAGAAAAAACAAGAAATTTCAAAGAACAAACTTGGAGGAACTATTTTTCCCAGATGTGAAGACTGAAGATTACAACAAAACTCTCTGAGACAGTGTGATGCCTATCTAATATATAAAACTCTCTGAGACAGTGTGGGACCTGTCTAATGTATAAAACTCTATGAGACAGTGTGGGGTCTATCTAATATATAAAACTCTATGAGACAGTGTGGGGTCTATCTAATATATAAAACTCTATG